CTTCAAAAATAACTTTTATTTATTTATTTCCAATTATAGATAAACCACGATTGCGTTGTTTTCACAATACACCTTTTCAGTTACTCTTATTCCTCGATAACAAGTTAATCATTCTTTTGAATTGAAAAAATGAGCCAATTTATATCAGTGTGTGCATTGCTCACATTCCTACAAATAATACAAAAAAATATTTAACGTGCTTTCCAGGCCTACGAGCAACTGAAAAGGTTTGACAGTATTGAAAAAGGACAGAAATATAGTCCTTTCATAGATAATTACTACATGGTATAAAATGCAAAATACATCTAAGATTAATTAGAATTAGCATACTAGGAGTCAATAGTTAACTCAATTTACACCCTGAGGAAAGAAAAATTGGTCTTTTGACTTAAATTCAAATGATTTTTTTACTTTGTTCAAAAACAATATCTCGATAAAACCATTTCTTTCAAAAAGAAGGAAAAAAAATTGCCTGCATCATATGGTAACAGAAAGTTCGAGTCACAAGAGATCTGTTAGAAGAAAGAATTAACAGCTAAAAAAGATACGATGGAGTATATATATCGTCCCTTTTTCGATCAACGCCCCAAGCTACACCAGCTGTTTTACCGTCATAAACCTGATTAGTGAACCAACCATACAGGATGTCCATGCTGTATAAAATGTGACGTTTATTAAGACATAAAACAAAATTGTCAGCACAATTTGCCCTTTGCTTTTCATATTACATTCAGTTGTTGTGATCATAGCTTGCTGTCATTTCAGTCTTTCGCCTTCAAAATGGAAGACAAAGTTGATCGTATGTGCTCACCAACTAAGTCTACCATCTTGATATTTCAACAGTGATGCTGTTATTATGTTTGGGCCAGTTTTTTCTCGTTGAATTTGTTTTAAACAAGCAAATGGCACGAGTTGACAACTTGGAAAGGATGAAAGCACAACGCGACAAGAATACTGCAGATATTGAGAACATCAAGTCGATGTTAAATGCTCAAGTCACAAGAATGAATGATATCGAAGACCAAGTCAACAAGGATCCTATTTTTGATCTCAAAAGAATAAAAAGAGCTACCATACCAGATGAAGAACAAATTGCGGCTGATTTGGCTGAGCTCAAACGGTACATTTTAAAGATCATACAAGAATTAGGRGACTTRCAGTTAGAAAAGGAAATACCAGGACCGAGAGGACCACCAGGTCAGTCCGTAGTACCACCACGATCAGTAATTATTTCACCTCCACGTTTGGTTATCAATGAAAGTCAGTCGGCCATCTTGAAWTGTTCTGCCAGTGGATATCCACAACCTGTTGTTGCGTGGAGTAAAGTCAATGGTTCATTACCAAAAGAGAGATTTCTTGTCGACAGTAGCGGGAAACTGGAATTAAARRATGYCACTATTCATGATTCWGGGACGTATCAGTGTAAAGCTTCCAATATTCTTGGCAGTGCAGAMGACAAATCAGAAATCGAAGTGAACTTTAGTCCCCGAGTATCCTTAATCAAAGGACCAATCTATAAAGAGATTGGCACCAACGTTGTTATGCCTAGATGTCACGTGAAAGGACGTCCTAAACCACATATCACATGGTCGAAGTCTCCTGGTTCCTTGCAAAGTAGGCGCACTTTTATCGTGGATGGACAGATGATGTTGATAAAATCCAAGAGAGAAGATACTGGGTCATACTTTTGTAAAGCTGAGAATGATTTTGGTTCTGTTACCAAGGAAACAATTCTTGTTGTTGTTTTGTTGCCAAGCTTCACTGTAAAACCTCCTTCATCTCTCTTTGTCCTCACTGGAAAGACTATTCATTTGAATTGTAGTGCTAGTGGAGAGCCTAACCCAGTCATAACGTGGACAAGAGAAAATGGCGTTCTTCCTGAAGGCAGGTATGAAGTGAAAGATGGTTCTTTGATCCTAAAAGATTTGAAAATCATAGATTATGGCGTGTATGTTTGTACTGCAACAAGTGGTGGTCCTTTTTTCAAACGTTCAAAGTCGACCGTTCAGCCCTATAATGATTGCTCACATTTATACGAATTGGGAGTGAGACGTAACGGTGTGTACACAGTTCAACCCGACAAGCAGCCTGCATTTCAAGTCTACTGTGACATGACAACTGACGGTGGGGGTTGGACTGTGTTCCAGCGAAGACAAGATGGATCGGTCGATTTCTATCGCTTTTGGCAGCAATACAAAACAGGTTTTGGAAACCTGAATGGCGAGTTTTGGTTGGGTAACGATTACATCCATCGACTGACAGCAAGAAAAGCATCGAGTCTGCGCGTTGAGTTAGAGGACTGGGACGGAACTAGGAAGTATGCCAAATATGGTAGTTTTAGTGTTGGTGATGAATCAGACAAGTACATGCTGAGGGTTGGCTCGTATTCAGGTACTGCTGGGGACTCGTTAGCATATCATAACTACATGCCGTTTTCTACAAAAGATAGAGATAACGACAAGAGTGTTCGTAACTGTGCTACAATTTTTACCGGTGCCTGGTGGTATACTGATTGCACGATGGCATCTAATCTGAATGGAAAGTACATTGGAAACAAGTGGTCGTTTCAAGGAATTGTTTGGTCCAATTTTAATAAAGATTCACAAAGTTTGAAGAAATCTGAAATGAAAATGCGTCCTAATGGATTCTAATGCATGAGTAGCACAGTAAGATAACGCTGAAGTTAATGCTCTTTGTTATTTGTACAGACATTTATCAACGATTTGTCATCACGTGTGTGTATAGTGTTTTTCCATTTCTCGTTGCAGCCATCGCAAAGTGAAAATTATGGGAAATGTTTCTTATTCGCCCATGTAAGAGAATCCAGAGAACTAGGGGATTCTGGATTCCAAGCGATGTATTCCGGATTCCGAAACATTGGATTCCGGATTCCAAGCCTTGGGATTCCTGATTCCAAAGAATTTTTGTTTTGGATTCCGGATAATAAATGGCGTGATTTTTAGTGCCTTTTTTTTCCTGAAAATTTTATATTCAGCGTCAGTAGCCTGCGCAGGGCGCCGGCAACGCAAGGTAGCGCGTCACTAATTTGCATTGTCTCCAATTGTCGCACGCTGACAAACAAACTACGTATATGAAGTACAGTAAAGTACAGCATATCAGTTGGAT